TATTTACCCAGGGCTGGCTTCCAGATGTGATCTCTCTTTCTGAGTAGCTGGGATTGGAGGCATGAGCCACCAGCACCCGGCTTCTTTTTTTCTTTCTTTTTTTGCAGTATTGGGGCTTGAACTCAGGGCCTTCAGCTTGAGCCACTCCGCCAACTCTTTTTGTGATGGTATCTTTGAGCTAGGATCTCGAACTATTTCCTAGGGCTGATTTCAAACCGTGATCCTCCTGATCTCTGCCTCCTGAATAGCTTATCATTCACGCTAGGCAAACGCCTGACAACCATGAAGCTTTGAACCATTGGTTTTCCTGTCTGAGCCTTTTCCTCATCAATAAAATAAAGGATCAGAGTGAGAAAAGGAAAGCTACTTCACCTCTCTTACTCATCTCTAGAATAGAATTGGAAGGGGAGCCAGGTGTGGTAGTGCACACCAGTAATTCCAGTACCCAGGAGAGTGGTCAGAGAAGGAAGAGGCAGCCCCTGAAACCACCAAGGAAGAGAACAGCTTCCTTAGGGATAGAAAGTGGATATTTGTCAATCAGAACACATAGATGGGCTTATGTGGACTGGATTCAAAAACAAAACCAAATAATAGCAAAAATATGTACAAACAAAGAAATTGGAAAGGGGTTCATTACCTTCCTTCCTTCCTTCTTTCCTTTTTCTCCTTCCTTTCTTTTCCAGTACTGCAATTGAACCCAGGATCTTGCACATGCTAAGAAAGTGTGCTCTTCCACTAAGCCACACCTCAGCCCAATTCTTAGGGATGTTTTTGGGGGCATTTCATAATTCCAATATTCTCCAGTTTTCTGAGATCCTGCCTCATCACAAATCCTAGCTGGAAATGTAGCTCAGTTGTAAAGTACTGCAAAACATGCATAGGGCATTAGTTTTGACCCTAAATACCACAAAAATAACTAATTAATACTTAGTAAGACTTCACCAACTACCAATTATAGCTTAACATGGGGGCTAGGCCAATAGATACCCCTCTCACCTCAGATGCACTGGTTTTGAAGTGTGCAATCAAGTCTCCTTTGCAGCATGTTAGCTTTGTAAATTGTCTAGCAGAAATTGCTATTTAGAGAAATAATTTTCAGAACCTGTGCCTGCAGGCAGGGGAAGAGCCCAGTGCTGTGTGGTGATGGTGGAGGGGGATCTTTTTTTGCGTGTGTGTGTGTGTGTGTGTGTGTGTGTACTCGGTTTGAACTCAGGGCCTACACTTAAGCCACTCTACCAGCCCTTTTTGTGTGTGTGTGTGATGGATTTTTTTAAGATAGGGTCTCTTAAACTGTTTGCCTGGACTGGCTTCAAACCTTGATCCTCCTGATCTTTACCTCTTGAGAGGCTAGGATTACAGGGGTTTTTTGTTTTGTTTTGTTTTTAACTCAGGGCCTCATGCTTGCTAGGTAGCACTCTACCACTTGAGCCACTCTACCAGTCCTTTTTTGTGAAGGGTTTTTTTAAGATAGGGTCTTGAAAACTATTTGCTTGGGGCTGGCTTCAAACCATGATCCTCCTGATCTCTGCCTCCCAAGCAGCTAGGATTACAGATATGAGCCACAGTGCCCAGCTTAGAGCTACCTGCTGTACTCCACTGCCTGGACAGTGACTGACATGTCATACAAAGACCATGAGTAGAACGGAGAGAAAGCAGACTGTGGACTGAAAGGGCACCTAAGTGGGGAGAGACCACTCACAACCAGAGATGGCAGCAAGGGCTTCCTGAAAGCAGCAGTACTGGGGCTCAGGCATAAAAGGGCCAGTGCAGTTTTTTTCATCTACAGTGCTTTGCCATTTTTACAGACTGTTCTTAGAGGAGCAGACCCCTCTGCGGAGGGAAAGCAGCTGGACATCTGGCAGAGGCTGACTTATAGATGCCTCTTTGTAGCACTTCCCAAAGGGCCTCCCCCCAGCAGACATAAATGCTTCAATTCAGGGACTGCTGAACGATGCCTGCTGTGGCCCAGACCAGAGGCTGGGTATCAGAGCCCAGATGTATCCTGCTCAGCCTCTGCCCTCAGGGAAGAAGTGCTTCACATACAAAGAAAGCCAGATAAATAGTGACAAAGGCCAGGGGCTGGGGCAGCCAGTCTCCTGGGGTCAGAGGCAGGGCATAAATCCCACGGACTTAGAGACCTAAGAGAGAAGAGCAGGGTGTGTTCCACTGTCCCTAGGGGCATCTGCCTGGTAGTAGTATCCCACCCCATCTGTGGGAATCACCCAGAGTTCTTGTCTACAGCTGGCCCTGACCATCACTCTCCTACTCCACCTGGAACATTTAATAAGCACCTGTCACGCATCAGGCTCCAGGTCAGGGTAGCCTTTGAAGTCAGATAAACTTGAGTTTGACTCTCACTCCCATTCACTTGTGCAAGCGATGTTATACCTTTCTGCTTTCTCCTGTACAAAATGAGGGTGCAAATACCTATCTCCCAGTGAAACGCTTTGATGACATTATATGTACATAATAGCTCCTTGCTTTGGCACAGGTGACTTCCAATAAATGCTGCTGTTGAAAGGGGTCACCGTTGAGGACAGGTGCCATGTTTATGAGGTTGCAGGTCTAACTGAAAGACTGGATGGATGTCTAGGACTGAAATTACTGACTGTGCATGATTCTCAACACTTTTTGTCTTTCACCCCTCCCCCAAGTGATTACTTTTCCTGAAAATGAAGTGGCCCAAATAATGCCTAACTTTCAGGGCTATTATGCAATAAAAGAGACAAATGGATGTAGAAATGCATCTAGACCACAAAGTGCTGGGGATGAGATACGTGCAGTGGGGTTGTGAATCACGTGATGGGGTATCACGGTGAGATTACTGGTTTAAAAGTCAGTGAGGCTGGCTCTGGTTCTGGATTTTCCTCTTATTTACTGTGTGGCCTCCCTTCTCTGAGTTTTCTTATTTTACAAAGGGACTCAGTGCTCTGAGATCCCTCCATTTGGAGCAGTGGGCTCTGTCTTTGCTTGATGCAAAATGAGTGGGAGCATCTGCAAAGGAGCTCCCAGGTGAAGCCAGTGCCGAGGATGGTCAGGACTGGCAGCCAGACCACCTGGAAATCTGCCCCCACCCCCAGAGACTGCCTTGGAATTCTGGCTAGGGGCCGCAAGAAGCCTGGGGAGCAGCTCTCTGCTCTGAGTCCATGAAAATCTGCCTTATTTTCAGACTCTCAGGGGAGAGGCTCCTACCCCTCCTCCCACAGTGAGAGCCAGATCACAGGCTGCATGAGCTCCGGCTGGGAGCTTGAAGGATAAGGGGACTGGAGGACTATTCAGACAGACAGGAAGTCAGACTTAGGAGGGAAAACAATGCTGAATTGGGAGCCAGAAGACAAGGATTCCCATGGTGGCCTTGCTTCTTAGCAGCTGCGTGGGCTGGGCAAGCTGCTTTAACCCCTCCCCCACTCCCTATCCCCAGAGGTTCAACATCCTCATCTGTGAAATGGGACCTTTGCAAGGCTCAGAGGAGAGAAATACACGTAGTGGTGCCAAGAAAACTGTAAAGTAAGATTTTCCTGTGAGATCTAGGGGAAAGAGCAAACCATACTGCAGAGAGGAAATGACCAGGAGACTGGAAAAAAAGAGAACAGAGCTGCCTAGCCTGAAATGGGTGCGTCAGCCTTCGACAGATGGTCCCTGAGGAGGGATCAGGCTGAGAGGCAGTGACGCGCACAAGGCTAACCCAATACCCCTAGAGACGCTTTATCCAGCGAGGGGAACAAAGGCCGTGTTTCTTATGTACCTTGGCTCTTGGGGCTTGTCCTCAGTGAACCAGGGAAGCTTTGTAAACAAGGATCTGGTGTCTGAGCTCCAGACCTGGCTCACTGGGCCCTGCCTCCCAGGAGCTTTCCCAGGCCTCTTCCAGCTCTGCTGGTCCAGCTGTGTGGGTGGGAGATAGCCTTTTCCAGATGTGGCTGGACCAAGCCAGCATCCTAGCAGCAGGATCTAACAAATGCTATGTGGTCTCTCCTGCAAACTTCTCTCTTTGAGGTGTTGATGAAAATGATCTAACTTCAAGTGCCATGAGGATAGCCACATGGGCAGGGACTGTCTCTTGAGCCACATATGCCCCCATTTCACAAAGGCCCAAAACTTAGATTTTTACAGCGTTCACATCTGTGTTCTTCACAGTGATGCCAAAGACAAAGATGGGAGGAGGAGGTTCTACCATCAGCTCTGCCATGTTCCAAGCACTTACTAGGAACCAGGGCCACAATAGTGAATGAAACTGAGGTGTTTTATGGCCTTATGGAGCGTATGTTTGTTGAAGAATGCACATTAATCAAACAACCATATAATTATAAAACAACACACTGGCATAAATGTAGTTAAATGCAGGAGGCTAGGAGAGTATGAAGCAAAAGACATTAGTAGAGGGTGGATGTCCAAAAAAGCCCCTAAGGGAGGTCACATCTGAAGGATGGTTGAAGTTACTAGACAAAGGGGATGAGGGTTGGAAGAGGAGGTATAGACAGAGAATTCTAGACTAGAGGAACAGTATGTGCAACTGTGGAAAGAAGTTGGTGCGTTAACAGACTGGAGCTCACACAGCAAGAGTAAGTTGGGTCTAAGAGGTGAGAGGGGCCAGCTGAGCCACCTGAAGAAGGGTGATCTTGACCTTAAAAGCATTGGGAAGTCACTGAGGTGTTTAAGAATGACAAAATCAAATATGCATCTAAATAACTACTCTACCTGAGTGAAGGTAGAAGAGGGTGCAGAGGGAACCCGGTGAGAGATGATAAAGGCATGGTCGTAAGAGGGCTGTGAAGATCAAGACATGAGCCATATTTTACATATGGAATGGGTATGTTCTGAAGAGGTGGGGTGAGGATGGAGGAGGGATCAAACACAGTACCAGATTTCAGCCTTGCGGAACTCGAAGCTGGGGGTGCCTTCAGTGAGAGGGAAAACCCAGGGGGACAAGGAGCAGGTGTGGGGTGAAGGCAAGCTCCTGGGTTCCTGTTTATAACGTTGTTGTGGAGCTGAGCACCTGTAGGGCTGCAGCCTGGTGAGAGCTCCCAGCAGGGGCCCGGGTCTGAATAGGACCTCCCAAGTGGTGGCCACATGAAGGATACCTTGGTGCCACCCAACGAACCTCTCCAGTCTAAGAGGGCCTCTGGAGCAGAAACCGTCTGGGGGTGAGCAGTTGTGCTGGTGATTATTCTGGTCAAATTCTGGGCAGGAAGCCCTGGGGCTGAGCCTCCTTCATAGTGGGAACTCCCGGGGTGGAAGCAAACATCTATTATTCAACCCGGGCTGTAGAGGAAGGCTGGGGGCTTACGGGGAACTGGGGCCTTCTGGGAGGCCAGGGCAGTGTCCCCAAGCGTGCGAGAGGGGCCTGTGACCCAGATGCCGCCTCCCCCTCGCCCCTGGCCGCGCCGCGTGGGAGGAGGCGGCAGCTGCGGGCCGGGCGGAGGGCGGGCGGCGGCGCGCCGGCCCGTGGGAAGCGGCGGCATCTGCTCTTTCCACGCTCCTTCCCAGCGGCTCGCTCTGAAACCCAACCCGCCCGGCCCGGCCCAGCCACCACCGACCCGCGCCCTCGGCCGGCCCGCCCCCGGGATCGGGTTGCAGGACCCGAGCAGGAGCGGAGCGGTTCCCCCCGTCCCCCCCCGACGGCCAAGGCCAAGCGAGGGGCAGAGGTGAGGGGCGGGGGGCGGTGGGGGGAGATGGGGACGAGCTCTGGGCGCATGAAGAACTTGGCCTGCAGAGAAATAGGTCCCCAGGGAGAAAGGGAGACCTGCGGCCCTTCCAGGCCTGGGAGACCACGTGCCTGCCGCCAGTCCCACCCCCCGGGTCAGCCCAGGCCATGGAGATGGTCCCCCAACTCTAAAACCAGCCTTCCTCTTTCTCTGCAGCCAGATGGCTAGGCCTCTGTCCACCCCCAGTCCTTCACAGATGCAAGCCAGGAAGAAACGCAGAGGGGTGAGTGTTGTCTAAGTCTTTGAGTGACCCAGTCAGCGTTTGCCTTGAATCTCCTGGGGCTTGCCTCCTGAATCTGGTCAGAAACATCACATCATCCTAAACTAACAGGCTAGGTTCAAATCCAGGCTCTGCCATTAGCTGCCCTGGTGACTGGGCAAGCCACTTCACCTCTCCATGCTTCATCTCCTCCTCTGTGTGGCGATTAAATGCATTAATGGAAACTCTTCCAACACACAATAGCCAGTTACTGCTTTTGTTCCATCCTTCCCCTCTACCCTATCTCTGCTTCTTCTCTGAGTCCAGAACATTCCTTTCCTCTCAGTGTGCTGAGGAGGGGGAGGGAGGCTGACAGAAGAGGGCTCTCTGCTTGCTGCAGGCCATCTCCTGCCTTCCTACCTCTCCTCAAGAAGCAGTTGAGTTTGCACACTGAGAGTCCAGAGGCTGGGGATGTGACAGAGGCTAGCCCCACCATGCACTTGTCATCAGCCCTTAGGCAAACCACTCCCCAACCCATGTTCTTTCTCTGAAAAATGAAATGTTTTTTCTACCCTGTTATTGGTGTTCTGTTGCTAGGATTGGGAGGGGAGGAGGAGACAGTGTGCATGGAGGCCTCTGCAGCTGGAGAGAGCAGCTCTCAGTCCTCATCACCCAGCCACTGGAGGGCCAACCCTGGCCTAGCAGGAGCCCCTGAGGCCTGCTGCAGCTCTGAGGCTGATGTTCCTATTCCGACCTGCTCAGAGCTCGAGCATTTTGCACATCAACCCTAAGAGCCAGACAAGTGATCTGAGTTCTTCTTCCAAGTCTGCACTTTTTTTTTTTTTTTGCATTGGGTATTTTCAAGATAAGGTCTCAAGAACTATTTGCTCAGGCTGGCTTTGAACTGCGATCCTCCTGATCTCTGCCTCCCAAGTAGGTAGGATTACAGACGTGAGCCACCAGATCTGCACTTGCTGTGTGTCTTTAAACAAATTACAGAGCCTCGGTTTCCTCTTCCGTAAATTAAGAATAGACTTACCTTCCTCACAAAAATATGGTGAGGGAAAATATGAGTCAGTGTCCATTAAGGCACATGGGAAACTGTGATGAAATGCCTCAGAGTGCAGAACTCCTTGTCATTGTTTTTCAGATTATAGAAAAACGGCGCCGAGACCGCATCAACAGCAGCCTTTCCGAATTGCGGCGCTTGGTCCCCACTGCCTTTGAGAAACAGGTATGTGACATTGCTGACTGTGCCAGAGGAAGTTCTGAGTGGGCGGCAGGTAAGGTTTGGTTCTCACGGTGTCTCTTATTGATGGGTAGCAGCTGCCTGAGGGGTTGTGATCATTTATGGATAGCTTTCACTACCCAGGGGACAAGGGGAATGGAAGTTTGTACTTTGCGAGGTGTCTCAGGTGTAGCGGCTTTATGTCCAATTTATGTCCATTTGAATTGAATCCTAAAAAATGCTCCTTGAGGGTAGAGCTAATGCTGCCCATGTCTCAGCTAAGGAAAGGCAGAGAGGTGAAGTAACTGCTACTAGGTCACACAGCTAGTAAATAGCAGAGCAGAAGTGGAGCATGGGACTGTGTGATATGTCTCCTGACATTTCCAGAGCTATTTGCAGGTGAAACAGGCCACTCAAGGAGGGAGCACTCTGTCATTGAACATGTTGTGGTGAGGGGACTACAGTGGGAGACAAACTGTTGAATCAGACGACCTCAAAGATCCTTTCCCTAAGCTCCAAAGTCATAGGTCATCTATCTTCCCATAGGCCGGTAAGAACAAGTCAGTTATTCCACAGATGTTCACCGACCTCTAAGGAACTCACATGGAGGGTGGGACCCTCAGGTTTCCCCTGGAAGGAGATGGTCCTGAAACTTAGGAAGCATTTCCCAAGAAAGAATAGAGGAAGGGCAAATGCTTTGAGGCTGAGATCATGAGCCAGATCTTGGGCATGCTAGGGCTGAAGCTGGATTCCTAGGAAAGCTGGGCTAGGAGCCGGCGGGTATGCAGGAGTGGCCTCTGGTGATGGTTGGTGAAACCATGGAAGTACATGAGACCCTCCTGGAAGAGGGTGCAGAGTAAGAAAAGAAGTGAGCCAACACCCACAGGCACGACACCATTTTAAGGAACAGGCAGAGCAAGAGGTACTGGGAAAGGAGAAGAAGTAGTGTTGTGCCAGTCCGGGGAAGAGGGGTTTCAGGACAGAAGCTCATGGTACAATGGACAGCCATGCTGAGATGAGAACTGAAGCATCTTTCAGAGTTGGAGACCTTGACCAATGCAGCAGCTCAATTGGTGGGGGGAGTAGGGGAAAGGTGAAAAAATCAAGACACTGAGCATTGATGACAACAATCAGGGGAGGTGAGCAACAGGGGTCAGCTGGAGGCTACACTCCTCTCCTTCTGTACCCACAGGGCTCATCCAAGCTGGAGAAAGCTGAGGTCTTGCAGATGACAGTGGATCACTTGAAAATGCTCCATGCCACTGGTGGGACAGGTACCCATGCTCTTCTCTCTTGGGAGTCATTTACAAGACAAATATTTTGAGGGTGGGCCCTGAGAATCACAGGTGGGCAAAGTAGACATACACGATCCCTGCCCTCCTGATCCTCAGTCTCCAGAAAGAGCATACCCTGTTGACATTCACCAAGCTTATCTCTTGTCTCTCAGCATCTCCCTCTCCACGTTCAGTGTTTCCTCTTGTGCCAGCTCTTTCCTCAACTCAACCCCTTCCAGTCTTAGAACCTACAGAAGTTTCTTCCTGTGTAACAGGGGTCCCACCCTCAGGGCCTTATTAAGGAGCAGCCCAAATGAGCTAATTGTGACTGGGACCTCAGCCTGTGATCTGCCTGAACTCAGGAAGGGACCCATCTGAGATTTTTAGCCACAGGTGTTTTGTTGGTGTCTCTTACCCATTGGTCTAGGCTTCCTGGGAACTTGACATACCCAGAACTGGTGATTATAGCAGAATTCAAATCATTTTAAGCTAGACCCTTACAGTAAAATCATGGAACTGTGGCTTTAAAAAGACTGCCAGATAAATGGAAACTTTGTCTTGAAGCTTCTCTGTGTATTTGGTGATTTCACCATTGGAAAGCCTTGAAAGATCCTCAGACCTTGGCCAAAGATGTAAATTCCAAGGACAACTTGCTACCTTAAAGAGGACAGTTGCATTTTAAGTGGCCCAACCTAGTACTTCTCAGGCCCTTGCAGGCAGAAGTACCATGTGTCATGGTCACCCCCACAGATTCTGAGGCAGGAGGTCTAGCGTGGAGTTTAGGAATTTGCAAGTTTAACAAGCCTGCCCTATGACCCTGATACATGGGGTCCTTTTGAGAACTCTGCCAAAGGAATGCATCGCTAACAGTGGAGACTTCTGTCTCTATGCATCCAGTGGGGAGATGCTTCAAATTACATTCATGGTTATCCTATTAAAAGGCAAGTGGTGGTTAATATGGGACATCATTTTTATAGCTTTCAAAATGCTTTCACTTATCTTATCTCCTTTGATTCTCACGAGAACCAGGAAGGTGGGGTTGTTGGCTTTACCACTTTCTGGCCCAGGGTTAATGGGAAGACTGGAGTTGTGGTTTAGATAGAACAGAGGCTTTTTTTGTGTGTGCATGTGTGTGTGTGGTACTAGGGTTTGAACTCCGGGCCTCATGCTTGGCTAGGCAGGCACTCTACCACTTGAGCCACTCCACCTGCTATTGGGTTTTTTTGAGATAGGGTTTGAGAACTATTTGCCTGGGTCTGGCTTTGAACTTCAAACCTCCTGATCTCTGCCTTCTGAGTAGCTAGGATTACAGGCGTGAGCCACTGGTGCCCGGGTGAACGCAGACGTTTGATTTGAATCCTGACTCTAGTGCTTGCTAGCTTGATCCCCTTAGGTAAATGATTTAACCTCATTTTCCCCATCTTTAATGGGAATAATGAGAGGGTATTTATGGGATTAAATTAGATAATGTAATAAAGTACTGAGTAAGAATGTAGCAGGTATTCATTTAAAAAAGAACAGAAACACAGGGAAGGGATGTGTGCCCCATAGCACAGCTAAGGGCACAGCAGAGCCAGGTCTCTCCTGAAGTTGTCCTGACTCAAAACACAGTCTCTTGCAGAGATGCCCCTCTGGGGGGCCTCAGCCATGAACCAGGACCAGATATGTGCTGCCATAATCATGGTGCAGTTCTAGGGCTGTCTGACTGTCTTTGCCCAGAAGGCCGTAGAGAGACAGGCAGGTATGCAGAGGCAGTGAGGGAATGAGGGTGTGAATGCTGTGTGGACAGTCCACCTGGTCATTCCACATTGGCATTGGCCTGATGGTAGCTGAGGACCAGCAGACTTTGGAGCTGGGGGACAAACTCCGATGCAGCAGGATCCCAGCCAGTATATATATATGATTGCTACCTTTTAATTCATGGAGCAGTTTCTGTGATCCATTTCACTTAACACCCCCAACTCTGTGCAACAGGTACTATTATCTTCCCATTTATTGCTAAGGAACCTGAGGCATAGAGAGATAAGGACAATTGTCCATGGTCAGGCAGCCAGTTAAGTGACAGAGCTAGGATTCCAGCCCCTCTCTTGGGCTTCCAAAGACCTCATGCTACACAGATCCACTATGATTCCTTCTCCAAGGGGGCTTCTTGCTCTGAGGGCTGCTGTTACCACCTCCCCTCCCTCACTCTGTTTCCATCTACAGGCCAGGTTATTCCATGCCTCCATGTCCACAGCTTTTTCACGCTTGGCAAGTGTCTATTTAATGAAGTTACTTTGACCACCACGTTTCTTCTTTGCATTAATCACAAATTGTGATGAAAACCATACTTTGCATTTTGTAATGTTTCCTGTCTTAGGGAACTCACCATCTTCCATGCCAGGTAGGGATTTGTATTCTCATTTTACAGATGGGGAGACTGGGACTCAGAGGTGTGGGGGTCTGCCCAGGGTCACCCAAGGAAGGAATGAGAGAGAGGTCTAGAACCCAGACAGCCTCACCCCCAGCTTTATGCCTCTCCCCACCTGGTATGCCCTCATGGTGCCTCACTTTGCAGGATTCTTCGATACCCGAGCTCTGGCCATTGACTTCCGGAGCATCGGTTTTCGGGAGTGCCTCACTGAGGTCATCAGGTACCTGGGCGTCCTGGAAGGCCCCAGCAGCTGTGCAGACCCTGTTCGGATTCGCCTCCTCTCCCACCTCAACAGTTACGCGGCTGAGATGGAGCCTTCACCCACGCCTGCCAGCCCCTTGGCCTTCCCTATGTGGCCCTGGTCCTTCTTCCATAGCTGTCCAGGGCTGCCGTCCCTGAACAACCAGCTCGCCATCCTAGGAAGACCTGGCCCTGTCCTCCCCAGCACCTCCTCTCCCATTTACCCTATCCCTGCCCTCCGAACCACACCTGTGCACAGAGCCACTGGCACCATCCTGCCGGCCCGGAGGAATTTGTTGCCCGGTCGAGGGATATCTTCCACCCAGCGGCCCGGCCCCCCAGAAAGGCCAGCTGCCCCTCTACCTGTGGCCCCTAGCAGCAGAGCTGCCAGGAGCAGCCACCTCCTTTCCCTGCGGTCCTCCTCCCCCACGCTCCCTGGGGCTGGGGGATCCACTGCTTGTGTAGCTGTCCCTGTCTCCAGTCCCTCTCCCTCAGGGACAGCTGGGAGACCTGCAGGAGCTGTGCTGTACCATTCCTGGGTCTCTGAAATCACTGAAGTTGGGGCTTTCTGAGCCTCCCCCCCATTTTGCCTCCACCCTCAGGAGAGTAAGGAAGATTCTTTTTCTGAGAGCTTTAAAACTGGCGCTGCCTTTTCTGCTTGGCTTCTGGGAAGGGCTCCTATGTAAAGACACCTTCTTCATCCATCAGAGGCCCCTCCTCCTCCTCACAGCTGACCCAGACCATCCACCTGGCTTCCCTGGCACTCTTTTGATCTCAGAGGCATGGTCCCATTTTTCACCTGTGCAGATGAGTCATGGTGCGTCATGAGCCCCTAAGAGCTGTGCTCAGACCCCTCTCCTGACCAGTATGCATGAACCTTGGGTCTAGGGTTGAAACTTTAAAGGATACCATGAGGCTGCACATGTTGGCTCACACTTGTAATCCCAGCTACTCAAGAGGCAGAAATAGGGAGGATCTCTGTTTGAGGCCAGCCTAGGTTTAAAAAAAAAAAAAAGTGAGATTCCATCTCAACACAGTCAGGTGTGGTAGCCAATGCCTGTAATTCCAGCTAAATGGGAGGCGTAGATAGGAGGATCACAGTCTGAGAACAGCTCTGGGGAAAAAAGGTAAGACTCTGAAAAATTATCTAAAACAAAAAGGGTTGGGGTATGGCTCAAGTGGTAGAGAGCTTAGGCCCTGAGGAAGGGAGGGAGGGAGGAAGGAAGGAAGGGAAGGAAACCATGTCTGTGGAGGGGGAGACCCCAGTTAGGAGGAATAACTGGATCTGCAGCCCTCCCAGGCCAAGGGGTCAGCATATGGTCTGCCTCATTTCCTGGAGACTATAACTGAGCAGGAGTTTGGAGAAGTCTCGTGTGCCCCTGCTCATCTGTCTTTGGCCCACTCCATCACAATATCCCACAGGACAGACTCATTCTCCATTTCAGCAGGGCCTGCACTCCTTTCCTCCCAGCTGCAGAATCCCCCTCCTGTAGACTACTGGCTCCTGGTCATGGCTGGCTTGACAAGCTGGCCTGGGAGGACTCCAGGCAGTGGCAACGCCCTGTGTCAGGGTGCTCTCACCATCAGGCCTCGACAGCGCGCCAGGCAGGAGCCAAGATTGAGCAATGGAGAGTCCAGCTCCCTGCCTCTCACAGTCACCATCCTCCAGGCCTGTGACTCTTTCCCTTTGGGTGCACAGCGTGGAGGTCTGTGGCCCCACATGATGGCGCCCAGACATCCAAGCTGCCTGGTTTGCATCCAGTTCACAGAACCCAGACTGCTGCCACAGCCAAGGGCTGTCAGACTGGACAAAAATAACTGAGGAGGGGCAGGAGGAAGAACAATCATAGGCGGCTGGGCCCTTCAAGGTCACACTGAGGGTTGAGGGCCTGAGATCTGTTCACCCAGATTCCACACAGCTGGTCCTGCTCAGAGGCTGTTTCATTCCCCAGCTCTGCCTTAGGCCATTTTCCAGTAACAGAAGAACAAACCGCCTGGTGGCCATTCCCAGTGGAACAGCAGAGACTGAACAGACCATATCAGTGGACAAAGTGTTGAGAACAACCTGCTTCCCTGCCAAGTGTCAGGACCACCCTGACCTGACTAATGCCTGGCGGATCTGAGGTTGTGGGGTAATGGCACTGGTTGTTCATTGGTGCTCACACCACTCTCATTATTAAATACTTCTGTCACCCGACAAGATTCTCACACTCCCAGCCTTTGACGAAGCCGCCCTCCCCAGAGGCTGCTTCCAGGCACAAAAGTAGAGTTCCCAAAAACCCTGGGGCAAAGGGCCCTTTTAGAGAAATAGGGCAGAGGGCGGAGGTCAGTTGAGTGCCCAAGAAAGCGCTTTTGGACAGGGAAATCCTCAAGGAGGGATAGAGGTAAGGATGTCTTTCACTCCTCAGTGGGAACTAGTCCATCACATGACTGCTCTGTGGCCCTACCTGAGATGTGTGACAGCAATGAGAGGGGACATCACTGCAGGGCACTGGCAGGGGGCTCTGAGGGAGACAGAAGAAGGGCACAGAGGAGGTTACAAGAGGCAAAGATTGGCCTCACATTTCTCAGGAGGGGGCACACTCAGGACAAGAAGAGGAAATTCCCCAGTCTTCCCCCTTCTTGTCCTCACTCCTTCCCCTTCTTCTCCCCCTCTCCTCCTCCCTGATCTCCAACTGCTCCCAGGATTCCATTGCCTTACACCATTCTGCCATGTGGCAACCTCCTAGCCTGAGAAGCCAGCGGTCACTCGGCAGCTCTGTCAGAAATGCATTTCCATGTGGCAGGTGCCCAATTCTAAAACAGTCTGTTGACACCACAGAAGGGAGGTGGAAATGGTTTGGCCCTTTCAGAACCTTCGTTTGTCATGGGTTCTGAGAGACTGGAAAGGTGACTGTGTTTGATCCCTCAGCTGGGGACTCGGGTCTTCTGTTTCTAGTCCCAAACCTTCCTGGTGCCCATGACTCCCCCAGCCCCCACCCCACTGCAGGGTATTGCTGACAGGCAATAAAGATGTTCTTCTGGAAACCTGTGGATTCTACTTCCCAAATATTTCTGCATTCTGTCCACTTCTGTCTGAATCCCTGGCCACCACCCTGGCCTGCCCACACTACCTCTCCCCCAGATCACTGGCCTGGCCTGCATGGGTCTCCTTGCTTCCCTCTTTGCCAATCATTTCTCAACAGCAACCACAGAGAACCTGAAACACGCAGTTCACATACTATCAACCTGGGCTTCAAGCCCTTCCCTTGTTACTCTGTTATTCTAAAGACAAAATCCAGGCTCTTCCTCTATTAGTCTCCACCCCATTTTTGGCCTCCTTTCTTGCCAGTCCCAAACCTGCTCCATCTGTCCCACTGGCCTGCCTTCATTTCCTCAACATCCCAATCCTTCTTCCCCTTCAAGGTTTTGCATATGCTGTTCCCTCTGCCCAGAATCTTCTTCTTTACCCTTTGCATGGCTAAGTTCTTCAGACCCTTGGCTTCAGTGCCACCTTCTCAGAGAGGCCTTCCCTGAGTACTGTACTTGTTGGTTAACTGTCTCAAGTACTAGAATGTAAGCTCGGTGAGGCCGGAGACCATTCCTGGTCTGCTCTCCAGCTGCACTCAGCATGGAGCATGGTGTTGTTGTCACTGTCCGATGAATCCTGGTTAACGAAATGAACTAAGGAGGTGAGAAGTCTTCTGGTCTCAGGCTGTGGTTGGTACAGGCCCCACTATGGGTGACCCCTTGCTGACCAGCTTTGGGAGGAGGCAGGAAAGCAATGGGAAAGCCAAGGCTAAGGGACTGGAAGTGCTGGCAGACCAGTCAGGCCTGGCCTGAGGAGAACATGAGAGCACATTGGCCCTGGATCGCACACTGACAGCCGAGAACGGGCAGGCCGATCCTGCCAACTGGTTTGTTCTTCACTCTTGGCCTGGCTGGCTAATGGATTTGGCTCCCAACAAATCCAGCAAACCCTCCTGGAGGTTTGCTCTGTGCCAGTCAGGCCTGGCGTAGCCAGAAGTGACAAGGACACTGTCACTCTGAGTGGGGCGTATCCTCTGCCTAAGTGATAGTTGGTGAGATGGGAGTGAAGAGGTCTGTGGAGACGGGTGAGATCTGTAGAGTAGGGGTGTCGGGGGTGGACATCTTCACAGAGGAGGGTGAAGGACAGTTTTCACCAACACAGAGGGACCGTAAGTGCAGAGACCTGGGGCCTCATCCAGGAAGGCTCTAGAAACAGGCTCTGAGCTGAGCGAAGGCCCTCAGCAGCAGGATGAAAGGTGGGCCCCTGGATGCTGAAGCCAGACTTCCTTCTTAGGCCCTTGTTAATGAGTTGTGGCCTTGGGTAAGATCCTTAACTTCCTTGAGTTCTACTTTCTCATCTATGAAGTAGGGATGCAGTAATAGTTACTATTGATTAAGTGGCAACTGTATGCCAGGCACTGTCCAGTGCTTTTCTTGGAATGTCCCCATTTTACAGCGTAGGTCTCCTCAGTGTGTAAAACCCTCATTGTAGTGCCTGGCTCATATGAAATAGTCTGTCTTTGCCGTTAGCATCATTAATGGAAGGAGGCTAGAGACAGATCGTAAAGAGCCTGGAGTGCCATTGGAGTGTGGGCTTCAGCCTGTTAGGAGTGGGAGCCACAGGAGGTTTTTCCAGGTGAATGCCAAGGTTGGATCCTGTTTAAGAAGCTTGTTCGTAGGGCAGCATGCAATGACCGGGAGGAGTAATATTTGGAACAACTTCCCGTTCTTTGCAAACACCTAGGTGCATTGGGGAAGTGTCAGAGTCCAGGCCCCAGTGATTACAGTTTCACTTGTTTGGGACAGGGCTTAGGATTGCATGAGGAGGTGTGAGGAAAAGTCAGGCAGAGCTCCACTTGGTAGGTGAACTGGACCCCAGCTTAGAGCCTGAAAAGGGCCAACAGAAGAGCAGAGCAAGACTGGAGGTGTGGCTTGATCGGTAGAGCACCTACTTTGTGAGCTCAAAGCCCAGAGTTCAAATCCCAGTCCCACCCAAAAAAAAAAATTGAGTGACAAGCAGAGCAGAAATTAATTTCCACGAGGGTATCTTTGAACCCTGGCCCCTGTTGTAATCCCCGGCCCAAGAAGTGAGGACTGAGTCGGGAGCTGGCTCCTGTAATCCTCAGGAGGCAGAGATCAAGAGGATTAAAATTTGAAGTTGGTCCAGGCAAATTGTTTATGAGACCCTATCTTGAAAAAAGCTCATCACAGAAAACAGCTGGTGGAGTGGTTCATAGTGTAAGCCCTGAGTTCAAGCCCCAATACCAAAAAAAAAAAAAAAAGAAGTGAGGACTGGGGCATGGTTCAAGTGGTAGAGTGCTTTCCTAGCAAGCTCAAGGGCCTGAGTTCAAACCCCAGTACCACAAAAAGAGAAAGACAAGAGACAGATTTAAGAAGTATTATGTGGCAGCCAGGTGTGGTGGTTCATACCTGTAATCCTAGCTACTTGGGAGGCTGAGATCAGGGGGATCATGGTTCCAGGCCAGATTGGCCAAAAGTTTTCGAGACTCTATCTCTAAAGTAATCAGAGCAAAATGAACTAGAGGTGTGGCTCAAGTGATAGAGTGTCTGCTTTACAAGTGTGAAGTCTTGAGTTCAAACCCCAGTCTCACCAAAAAAAAAAAAAAAAAAAGAAAGTGCTATGTGTTGCTGTGGTTTGAACATGGCTGTTCTCTCCCCAGAATCCATTGTGACTAAAGGTTTGGTCCGCACCCACAGTGGTTGAGAAGCAGTGAACCTTCAAGAGGTGGGGCCTAGTGAGAGGTCCTCAGTCAATAGAGGTGTGCCTCACCAAAAGAGAGGGGAAGCCTGTCTCTCTCCACTGCTGCTGGAGATGTGACCACTTGCTCCTGCACGTGCTCCTGCCGTGATGTCATCCTCACTCTACCAGAGGCTAAATCAGTGTCATTGTTCCTCCTACTCCTACCCTGCCACTTGATCTTGGACCTTGAGCTTTCAAAACTGTAAGCTATATAAACTTCAGATCTGTGTCAGGAGTTTCATTTC